TCCGGTCGCATGCTTGTGTCCGGACGCATGCTTGTGTCCGGTCGCATGCTTGTGTCCGGACGCATGCTTGAGTCCGTTCGCATGCTTGTGTCCGGACGCATGCTTGTGTCCGGACGCATGCTTGTGTCCGGACGCATGCTTGTGTCCGGACGCATGCTTGTGTCCGGTTGCATGCTTGTGTCCGGACGCATGCTTGTGTCCGGACGCATGCTTGTGTCCGGACGCATGCTTGTGTCCGGACGCATGCTTGTGTCCGGACGCATGCTTGTGTCCGGACGCATGCTTGTGTCCGACGCATGCTTGTGTCCGGACGCATGCTTGTGTCCGGACGCATGCTTGTGTCCGACGCATGCTTGTGTCCGGACGCATGCTTGTGTCCGGACGCATGCTTGTGTCCGGACGCATGCTTGTGTCCGGACGCATGCTTGTGTCCGGACGCATGCTTGTGTCCGGTCGCATGCTTGTGTCTGGACGCATGCTTGTGTCCGGACGCATGCTTGTGTCCGGACGCATGCTTGTGTCCGGACGCATGCTTGTGTCCGGACGCATGCTTGTGTCCGGTCGCATGCTTGTGTCCGGACGCATGCTTGTGTCCGGACGCATGCTTGTGTCCGGACGCATGCTTGTGTCCGGTCGCATGCTTGTGTCCGGACGCATGCTTGTGTCCGGACGCATGCTTGTGTCCGGACGCATGCTTGTGTCCGGACGCATGCTTGTGTCCGGACGCATGCTTGTGTCCGGTCGCATGCTTGTGTCCGACCGCATGCTTGAGTCCGGTCGCATGCTTGTGTCCGGACGCATGCTTGTGTCCGGACGCATGCTTGTGTCCGGTCGCATGCTTGTGTCCGGACGCATGCTTGTGTCCGGTCGCATGCTTGTGTCCGGTCGCATGCTTGTGTCCGGACGCATGCTTGTGTCCGGACGCATGCTTGTGTCCGGACGCATGCTTGTGTCCGGTCGCATGCTTGTGTCCGGACGCATGCTTGTGTCCGGACGCATGCTTGTGTCCGGACGCATGCTTGTGTCCGGACGCATGCTTGTGTCCGGTCGCATGCTTGTGTCTGACGCATGCTTGTGTCCGGTCGCATGCTTGTGTCCGGACGCATGCTTGTGTCCGGACGCATGCTTGTGTCCGGTCGCATGCTTGTGTCCGGACGCATGCTTGAGTCCGGTCGCATGCTTGTGTCCGGTCGCATGCTTGTGTCCGGACGCATGCTTGTGTCCGGTCGCATGCTTGTGTCCGGACGCATGCTTGTGTCCGGACGCATGCTTGTGTCCGGACGCATGCTTGTGTCCGGACGCATGCTTGTGTCCGGACGCATGCTTGTGTCCGGTCGCATGCTTGTGTCCGGACGCATGCTTGTGTCCGGACGCATGCTTGTGTCCGGTCGCATGCTTGTGTCCGGACGCATGCTTGTGTCCGGACGCATGCTTGTGTCCGGACGCATGCTTGTGTCCGGACGCATGCTTGTGTCCGGACGCATGCTTGTGTCCGGACGCATGCTTGTGTCCGGACGCATGCTTGTGTCCGGACGCATGCTTGTGTCCGGACGCATGCTTGTGTCCGGACGCATGCTTGTGTCCGGTCGCATGCTTGTGTCCGGTCGCATGCTTGTGTCCGGTCGCATGCTTGTGTCCGGACGCATGCTTGTGTCTGGACGCATGCTTGTGTCCGGACGCATGCTTGTGTCCGGACGCATGCTTGTGTCCGGACGCATGCTTGTGTCCGGACGCATGCTTGTGTCCGGACGCATGCTTGTGTCCGGTCGCATGCTTGTGTCCGGTCGCATGCTTGTGTCCGGTCGCATGCTTGTGTCCGGACGCATGCTTGTGTTCGGACGCATGCTTGTGTCCGGACGCATGCTTGTGTCCGGACGCATGCTTGTGTCCGGACGCATGCTTGTGTCCGGACGCATGCTTGTGTCCGGACGCATGCTTGTGTCCGGACGCATGCTTGTGTCCGGACGCATGCTTGTGTCCGGTCGCATGCTTGTGTCCGGACGCATGCTTGTGTCCGGTGGCATGCTTGTGTCCGGACGCATGCTTGTGTCCGGTCGCATGCTTGTGTCCGGACGCATGCTTGTGTCCGGACGCATGCTTGTGTCCGGACGCATGCTTGTGTCCGGACGCATGCTTGTGTCCGGACGCATGCTTGTGTCCGGACGCATGCTTGTGTGCGGACGCATGCTTGTGCCCGGTCGCATGCTTGTGCCCGGTCGCATGCTTGTGTCCGGACGCATGCTTGTGTCCGGTCGCATGCTTGTGTCCGGACGCATGCTTGTGTCCGGTCGCATGCTTGTGTCCGGACGCATGCTTGTGTCCGGACGCATGCTTGTGCCCGGTCGCATGCTTGTGTCCGGACGCATGCTTGTGTCCGGACGCATGCTTGTTTTTGGACGCATGCTTGAGTCCGGTCGCATGCTTGTGTCCGGACGCATGCTTGTGTCCGGTCGCATGCTTGTGTCCGGACGCATGCTTGTCTCCTGACGCATGCTTGTGTCCGACGCATGCTTGTGTCCGGACGCATGCTTGTGTCCGGACGCATGCTTGGGTCCGGACGCATGCTTGTGTCCAGACGCATGCTTGTGTCCGGACGCATGCATGCTTGTGTCCGGACGCATGCTTGTGTCCGGACGCATGCTTGTGCCCGGTCGCATGCTTGTGTCTGGACGCATGCTTGTGTCTTGTCGCATGCTTGTGTCCGGACGCATGCTTGTGTCCGGTCGCATGCTTGTGTCCGGACGCATGCTTGTGTCCGGACGCATGCTTGTGTCCGGACGCATGCTTGTGTCCGGACGCATGCTTGTGTCCGGTCGCATGCTTGTGTCCAACCGCATGCATGAGTCCGGTCGCATGCTTGTGTCCGGACGCATGCTTGTGTCCGGACGTATGCTTGTGTCTAGTCGCATGCTTGTGTCCGGACGCATGCTTGAGTCCGGTCGCATGCTTGTGTCCGGTCGCATGCTTGTGTCCGGACGCATGCTTGTGTCCGGTCGCATGCTTGTGTCCGGACGCATGCTTGTGTCCGGACGCATGCTTGTGTCCGGACGCATGCTTGTGTCCGGACGCATGCTTGTGTCCGGTCGCATGCTTGTGTCCGGACGCATGCTTGTGTCCGGACGCTTGCTTGTGTCCGGACGCATGCTTGTGTCCGGTCGCATGCTTGAGTCCGGTCGCATGCTTGTGTCCGGATGCATGCTTGAGTCCGGTCGCATGCTTGTGTCCGGACGCATGCTTGAGTCCGGTCGCATGCTTGTGTCCGGACGCATGCTTTTGTACGGACGCATGCTTGTGTCCGGACGCATGCTTGTGTCCGGACGCATGCTTGTGTCCGGACGCATGCTTGTGTCCGGACGCATGCTTGAGTCCGGTCGCATGCTTGTGCCCGGTCGCATGCTTGTGCCCGGTCGCATGCTTGTGTCCGGACGCATGCTTGTGTTCGGACGCATGCTTGTGTCCGGACGCATGCTTGTGTCCGGACGCATGCTTGTGTCCGGAGGCATGCTTGTGTCCGGACGCATGCTTGTGTCCGGACGCATGCTTGTGCCCGGTCACATGCTTGTGTCCGGTCGCATGCTTGTGTCCGGTCGCATGCTTGTGTCCGGACGCATGCTTGTGTCCGGACGCATGCTTGTGTCCGGACGCATGCTTGTGTCCGGACGCATGCTTGTGTCCGGACGCATGCTTGTGTCCGGACGCATGCTTGGGTCCGGTCGCATGCTTGTGCCCGGTCGCATGCTTGTGTCCGGTCGCATGCTTGTGTCCGGACGCATGCTTGTGTTCGGACGCATGCTTGTGTCCGGACGCATGCTTGTGTCCGGACGCATGCTTGTGTCCGGAGGCATGCTTGTGTCCGGACGCATGCTTGTGTCCGGACGCATGCTTGTGTCCGGACGCATGCTTGTGTCCGGACGCATGCTTGTGTCCGGTCGCATGCTTGTGCCCGGTCGCATGCTTGTGTCTGGTCGCATGCTTGTGTCCGGACGCATGCTTGTGTTCGGACGCATGCTTGTGTCCGGACGCATGCTTGTGTCCGGACGCATGCTTGTGTCCGGACGCATGCTTGTGTCCGGACGCATGCTTGTGTCCGGACGCATGCTTGTGTCCGGTCGCATGCTTGTGTCCGGTCGCATGCTTGTGTCCGGACGCATGCTTGTGTCTGGTCGCATGCTTGTGTCCGGACGCATGCTTGAGTCCGGTCGCATGCTTGTGTCCGGACGCATGCTTGTGTCCGGATGCATGCTTGTGTCCGGACGCATGCTTGTGTCCGGACGCATGCTTGTGTCCGGACGCATGCTTGTGTCCGGACGCATGCTTGTGTCCGGTCGCATGCTTGTGTCCGGACGCATGCTTGTGTCCGGACGCTTGCTTGTGTCCGGACTGTCAGAACTTATAGCTTACTTGTTTCTGTAGGCTATAGTGGGGTATCCCATAGGGGGTACAACACAATTAGGGTTTCCTATTTGTACTCACTTCGTTCATAGTCATTTCATTCACGTTCTTTGTTTTCACATGGAATCAGAGCAGGTTCCCTCCTAGGGACTGCTTCTAGGGCCCACCGAACCGCGCCCCGAGGCGCGTTTTTTTTAGCGACCCGTCGTGTCGCCCCTAGCGGACCGTTGCGCCGCCCTTCCCCTCGCGGCTCCGCCGCCCTTCCCTAGCGGCCCCGCCGCCCTTCGATCGCGGCCCCGCCGCCCTCTGCTACGCGGCCCCGCCGCCGCCCTTCGATCGCGGCCCCGCCGCCCTCGGCTACGCGGCCCCGCCGCCCTCTGCCTCGCGGCCCCGTCGCCCTCTGCTACGCGGCCCCGCTGCCCTCTGCTACGCGGCCCCGCCGCCCTCTGCTACGCGGCCCCGCCGCCCTTCGATCGCGGCCCCGCCGCCCTTTGCCACGCGGCCCCGCCGCCCTCTGCTACGCGGCCCCGCCGCCCTCTGCTACGCGGCCCCGCCGCCCTTCGATCGCGGCCCCGCCACCCTCTGCTACGCGGCCCCGCCGCCCTCTGCTACGCGGCCCCGCCGCCCCCTGCTACGCGGCCCCGCCGCTCTTTTCGGTCGCGGCCCCGCCGCCACTCTGCTACGCGGCCCCGCCGATCCGCCCAGCAGCAGCCGCCGCCGCCTGAGCCGCCGCCGAGCCGCCGCCGAGCCGCCGCCGAGCCGCCGCCGAGCCGCCGCAGAGCCGCCGCCGAGCCGCCGCCCGAGCCGCCGCCGAGCCGCCCGTGCCGCCCGAGCCGCCCGAGCCGCCCAGCAGCAGCCGAGCCGCCGCCGAGCCGCCGCCGCCTGAGCCGCCGCCGAGCCGCCGCCGAGCCGCCGCCGAGCCGCCGCCGAGCCGCCGCCCGAGCCGCCGCCGAGCCGCCTGTGCCGCCCGAGCCGCCCGCGCCGCCCGAGCCGCCTGCGGAGCCGTACTGCTGTTCCTCTGCTGCTGACCTACCCGCCTCTCCCAGCCCGGTGAGATTTTCAGCTGCTGTCATGGCCACCCCAATGTTCTTACCTTTGACGCTGAGGGGAGGGCCGTTGACTTTGCCGTCTGGATTGAAGACCTGCAGCTGTACTTACTGTGTGATGCGATAGATGAGGTCTCTCTCTTTGACTTTGTCTCTGGCGCTGTCCCTGCCCCACCTGCTGATGCTGACTCTGCCGTTCGCTCCAAGTGGGCGACCCGCGATGCTGCTGCACGTCTTGTTGTGCGTCGCCACCTCCCTTCCTCTGAGCGTGCCCACTTTAGTCAGTGCAAGACCGCTCAGGCCTTGTACGACGCTGTAGTTGCACGCTACTCCTCCCCTTCCTCCGCTACCCTTAGCCGCCTCATGCTACCGTTTCTCTTCCCTGACCTCGCTTCCTTTCCCACTGTCGCTGACCTCGTTACCCACCTCCGTGCTAGTGACACCCGCTACCGCGCTGCCCTTCCTGCTGAGTTCCGCGCTGCGAACCCTCCTCCCATGTACATCACTCTCTACTTTCTCGTCACCCGTCTCCCTGAGTCCCTTCGTGTCGTTAGGGACCAGTTTCTCTCTGTCTGTCCCACCACTCTCACTGTCGACCTCCTTGAGGAGTCCCTGCTAGCGGCTGAGAAGAGTATTGTCGCTGTAGGGGCCTCTCGGGGTGACCCTCGCACCCCCATCTTTGAGGGGTGTGGTCCTTCCCCCCTGCTGCCCTCTGTCGCCTCTGCCGCTGCGGCCGACCTCACAGGTTTTGAGTCGGTCGGCGCGGCGTCTGCCCCCAGCGGCAGACGCCGCTCTGGCAAGGGCAAGGGGGGCAAGGGAGCGGGTGGAGCTAGAGGGGGCGGTGGAGGAGGCGGTGGGGGTGGCGGGGGGAGTGGGGGTGGCGGTGGGGGTGGTGGCGGGAGTGGAGGTACTGGTGGCGGCGGTGGAGGCGGAGGTGGCGGCGGGGGTGGTAGCGGAGGAGGCGGTGGGAGCGGTGGGAGCGACGGTCCTGGCGGTGGAGACGGGGGTGGCGGTGGAGGTGGGGGTGGCGGTGGAGGCGGGGGTCGGAGTGGCTCGTCCCAGCGGAGCAGCTCTGGGGGTGGTCAGCGCCAGCAGCAGCTGCAGCAGCAGCCGCAGCAGCAGCCACAGCAGCAGCAGCGCTCCCGCACCGTCCCCGCCCCTCAGCAGCTCCGTGAGTGGTACGTGCAGCGTCAGCGTGGTGGTGCGCTTGGTCCCTGCCCCTACGTTCTTCGCACCGGTGACCGTGCAGGGGAGCGGTGTGGAGGCGCCCACACAGCCCGCCGCTGCTTTGGCCGCCTGACCGACGCCTGGCGTCAGCAGTTTCCGGAGGCCGCTGAGATCCCCCGCTGGGGAGAGCTGTCTAGGGCTGGTGTAGCTATTTATGATCTTGATTTTGATGCTATTCTCGCTGCTATGTATGCTGTGACTGGTAGTGATGAGGATGACTGTTACCGGTGTTTCCCGCCCGACCCGGGCATTGGTACTGCCGCGTCAGGTACTAGTGAGGCTGCTGCTCTAGGTGCCAGTGCGTCTGTGCTCTCAGGTGCTGGTGAGTCTGCCCTCTCAGGTACTGTGTCGGCTTCGGCCTCTCACACCTTCACCCTTGACTCTGGAGCGTCTCGCTCCTTCTTTAGGGACCGCACCACTCTCACGCCGCTGAGTCGGCCGGTTGCAGTGTCCCTGGCTGACCCCTCTGGGGGGCCTGTCCTGGCTCGCTTCTCCACTGTCCTCCCGTGTCCGGCGGCCCCCTCTGGCACCCTGACTGGTCTCTACCTCCCCTCGTTCTCGACGAACTTGGTGAGTGGTGCTGACCTCCAGGATGCGGGTGTCCACCAGTTCACCCCTGCTCGTCAGCGGGTGACCCACTGCACGGAGGAGGATACAGGTCGCCACCTAGCTACGTTTACACGTCGGCCAGGGTCGAGCCTGTACACACTGACCACTGCTTCTCCTCCAGGTGCTGAGTCTGGTAGGGTCCCTTCGTCTGGTCAGGTGTTTGCTGCAGCGTCCAGGTCTGGTCCTGAGTCTGCCCCCTGCTCGTGTCGTCGTCTGTCTCACGAGACCCTCCTCTGGCACCACCGCCTTGGCCACCCCTCTCTGCTTCGGCTCAGAGGCATGGCCTCGCGAGTCCTTGTGTCTGGTCTTCCCCGGTCTCTCCCTCCCCTTCCTCCGGGCCCTGGCCCCACCTGTGTCCCCTGTGTCGAGGGGCGCCAGCGTGCTGCCCCTCACTCCTCCCAGTTTCCTCCCACAGAGGCCCCGTTGCAGACGCTTCACATGGACGTGTGGGGCCCAGCCCGCGTCCGTGGACAGGGTCAGGAGCGCTACTTCCTGCTGGTGGTTGACGACTACTCGCGTTACACCACAGTCTTCCCCTTGCGCAGCAAGGGTGAGGTCACTGAGGTGCTGATCGACTGGATCCGCGCAGCTCGTCTCCAGCTTCGGAGGAGCTTTGGCTCTGACTTCCCTGTTTTGCGTCTGCACTCGGACAGAGGTGGAGAGTTCTCCTCCGGCCTCCTGAGTGCCTACTGTCGTGTGCGAGGCATCCGTCAGACCTTCACGCTTCCGGACTCACCGCAGCAAAATGGGATTGCTGAGCGCCGCATTGGCATGGTCATGGACGTCGCTCGTACGTCCATGATGCATGCGGCTGCTCCCCATTTTCTGTGGCCGTTTGCGGTCAGGTACGCTGCGCACCAGATCAACCTCCACCCCAGGGTCTCTCGACCGGAGACCTCCCCAGCCCTGCTGTGGACGGGGAAGGTTGGCGATGCGTCGGCGTTCCGGGTCTGGGGATCTCGGGCGTTTGTTCGCGACCTGTCTGCGGACAAGCTTTCCCCTCGTGCTTCTCCCTGCGTCTTCCTGGGGTTCCCCCCCGACGCCCCTGGGTGGCAGTTTTACCACCCCACCTCTCGACGTGTTCTGTCCTCCCAGGACGTCACGTTCGACGAGTCGGTACCCTACTACCGCCTCTTCCCCTACCGCACTCCGTCCCTCCCCCCACCCCCGCTCTTCTTGGTACCAGGTCCCCCCCCGGTAGTCCCCCTCCCCCCTCAGGGTCCTGCCCCTTCAGGTGTGTCCCAGGTAGACGCGGTCGAGCCTGTCGAGGTCACTGGTGACTCTGGTGCTGCTGCGGGAGCTGAGCCTGGGGGTGCGGAGTCTGGGGGTGCTGAGCCTGGAGGTGCCGAGTCTGGGGGTGCTGAGCCTGGGGGTGCTGAGCCTGGGGTGCTGTGCCTGGGGGTGCTGAGCCTGGAGGTGCCGAGTCTGGGGGTGCTGTGCCTGGGGGTGCTGGGCCTGGGGGTGCTGAGCCTGGGGTGCCGTGCCTGGGGGTGCTGTGTCTAGGGGTGCTGAGCCTGGAGGTGCTGTGCCTGGGGGTGCTTCGTCTCGCCGGGAGCCACTCTCCCCACAGGAGCTGCGTGAGTGGTTTGCCGGGCGCTGGAGGCGTGCTGCTGGTGCTGGTGGTTCTTCGGCTGCAGAGGCACTGCTGCTGCGCGCCCCGCCGGCGCTCGTACTGTGGGTGCTGGAGCTGCTGAGTCTGAGAGTTCTCCTGGAGCTGGTCCTGCTGAGGGTGTTGGCACTGAGCCTGCCGTTGGCGGCCCGACTGACAGTGCTCCTGGTGCTGCGGCTGGAGGTTCTGGAGCTTCTGGTGGTGCTGCTGGAGGTGCTGCTGGAGTGGGTGCTCCTGCCGGGGCTGCTGGTGCTGTTCCTGCTGTTTCTAGCGTCGCCGCGCGGCCCCGACCGTACTTCGTTCCGCTCCTGCAGCAGGTTCTTGGTCTTACACCTCCTCCTCCTCCCTTAGAGGGTCCGCAGCCTGTCCGGTCACAGCCACAGCTACAGCCTGCCTCCCTTTGCCTGCTCCTTCTCCCTACGCTGGTCCGACTGGAGGTCTTACTGAGCGTCGTGAGCCTGCGTCTCGTCCTGTGTCGCCTGTTCGTACTGAGCGCGCTAGTGGTCGCGGGTCGCGTCAGCGTCCTCCTCCTGTCCCTGGCACGCACCGGATGTCACTGCGTCCGTCCACTGCTCCTCTGCGTGCCCCTTTGCCTTCTCCTCCTGCTTCCTCTCTTCCTGCTCTTGCCGACCCGGAGTCGGACGCTCTTCATGCTGCCAGTCCTACTGTCACGCGTCTCCTGGCTACTGCTGTCACTGACCCCTCCTTCGAGTCGTCTGCTGCGTCTGCCTTGTCACTGAGCTTGTCGACTTTGCTGCGCGCTGTCGTCTAGACTACGCTGCTCGTCTTGTCACTGAGTCTGAGTCCGCCTGTCCTCCGTCCGTTCGGGGGTGAGTGTGCCCTTGGCACGGACGTCCTTGAGGACAGGCAGGAGGAGTTCCAGTGTCTAGCCGCCGCTTCACCTCGTCTCGCGTCTGTACTGCTTAGCCCCTGAGGGAGACCCGGATGCACCAGACATCCCGACTCCCCTCTTACGCGGAGGCGATAGAGGGTCCCTACTCCTCTCAGTGGCAGGCACTATGGATGCAGAGATGCTTCCTGGAAGTCCACAGGCACCTACGTTGACGCTGGTCCCCCTCCTGGGGCGAAAATCGTCAGTGGCATGTGGATTTTCAGGGTGAAGCGGCCGCCGGGTTCTCCGCCTGTCTTCAAGGCCGCGTTACGTGGCTCGTGGCTTCAGTCAGCGGCAGGGGTTGACTACTTTCAGACCTTCTCCCCACCCCGAAGATGACCACTCTTCGGGTTCTCTGCTACACGTTGCTGCTCACCGTGACTACGAGCTGCACTCCTCGACTTCAGCACAGCTTTCTTGCAGGGCAGCCTGCACGAGGAGATCTGGCTGCGTCGCCCACCTGGCTTCACTGGGTCTTCCCTCCTGGTACCCAGTGAGTCTCCTCCGCGTCCAGTCTACGGTCTCCGCCAGGCGCCGACGGTGGTGGCACGACACCACTGAGGACTACGCTCGCGGCACTTGGTTTTGCTCCTTCCACTGCCGACCCGTCGCTGTTTCTGCGCACCGACACCTCTCTGCCGCCGTTCTACATCCTCGTGTACGTCGACGACTTGGTCTTTGCCACAGCTGACACTGCTGGACTCGCCTACGTAAGTCCGAGCTGCAGAAGAGACACACTTGCACTGACCTGGGTGAACTGCGCAGCTACCTTGGCTTGCAGATCACCCGGGACAGAGCACGCCGCACATTACCCTGACTCAGTCACACATGGTGCCAGGTCCTTCAGCGCTTCGGCTTCACGTACTCCTCGCCTCAGGCCACTCCTCTG